ACAGACACACAGGCGGCCAACAGACACGTGACAAGGTGCTCAAGGTCACTGGTCATCAGAGAGATGTAACTACAACCACAATGGGATGCCACCTCCCACTTCGCAGAACGGCTCTCTATTGTCAGCGAGTCAACAACAAGCGCTGGTGGGGACATGGGAAAGGGGGGCCCTGGTGCACCGGTGGTGGGCATGCAGGCTGGTGCAGCCGCTGTGGGCAACAGTACGCGGTTTCCTGAGAAAATTAAAAGCAGAGCTGCCCGCTTGACTAAGCAATTCCACTTCTGGGTATTTGTCCACAGAAAACGAGGCACTAACTCAAGAACACGCACGCACCCCTCTGTTCACTGCGGCGTTATCTGCCGCAGCCAGGATCTGGAGGCAGCCGGCGTTTGCAGGCAGAGGGGCGCAGTGGAGCGTGGCGCAGCGACCGGGAGAACGGGGTCTTAGCTTTGCAGTAGGACGGACGGACCCAGACAAATGCCATGTTTTCCTTATATGTGGAATCTAAAAAAGCCCGAATCAAGAAGCAGATGAGACAGAAACAGACTTGTGGTCGCAGAGAGCAAGCTGACCGGTGCCACCCCTTTTCTCCGAGCAGAGGCAGCGCCACCTGTTGGTCGGGCCGGGACGCCGCCTGCGTCTTTCAGGAAAGCGCTCACCGAGGGCTGTTTTCACGGACACGACCACCTCGGTGCTTCTCTCGCTGCCGGAAGCAGCATTTGCGTTTGCTGAACTTTAAACCGACTCCGTCACAGTGGTGTGGGATGGTGCTCCTTTGCTAGTTGCAGTCCGATGCCTCTGCTCCCCCGTCACAGGCCAAAGGGGCCGTGTGGGCGACAGTGCAGCCCTGCTGGGCAGGCAGACAATGAAGCCCCTGTCCTTTGTGGCCCTTCGCTGGGGGCAGCGGTTCAGTCTGAGCCCCGCCCCGACCTGGGAATGGAGAGAAGGAGACACGGGGCGGCCACCTCAGAACCAACCCCCGTCCCCGGGCCCAGGGAACAGCTCCGGGCAGCACAGAGGCCACGTCCCCTTCAGAAAGGTCACCGCATCCGAGGGACTCTGGGGACACAGCCCACTGGCCCTTTAATGTGGGTGTGACATTCAAGCCACTCTGCAGGTGTGGGTGTCGGAATGTGTCAGAGCCGCTGTCCACTCTGGGCCCCACGAGCTGTTAGTGGTACTGGGGACTGTGTGCCCCCCAGTCTTGGGTTCGCCTGTCCTCTCTGGCCTGAACAGCCCCCCAGAATGAAAGGCACTGGGCCGGGACCCAGGGCACCCGGGGGTGCCATCGTATTAGGGAAAAGGCCCTCAGCAGGGGGTCACGTGAGGATGTGGAGCATGCTGGACCGAGCACCACAAAACTTTCAGGGAGGGCCCTCCGAGCCTACCCCCACCCATGCGCCCCCTCCCTCTCCCCTGGCCAGTCCCCTTGGATACCGGACACGCCCTCAGCAGGGCACTCTTGCCGTCCAGTCCCCATGGGGCCTCTGCTGCCCCAGCACCCGCCCCCGCTGTCCCTGCAGCTCAGGACTCTGCTTGGAACCAGGAAACAACAGCTCGGGCAGCAGAGGCCAGCCTGCCTCCTGGGAGAATGTGCCCACCCCCCTGCTGGGGCACTGGGCTGCCCGCCCTGCAGCCTCCACGTGGACTCTGTGGAAGGGCAGCCCTCGGGAAAGCCGCACAGCAGGCGGCAGAAGTCACGCCCTCCGCAGTCAGCCCTGCCCAGGCCCCGGGGGACAGAAACACCCCTGAGCGCTGGGAACTGGGTCCTGCACCTCGGTCCTGCACCGGTGCTCATTCCGTTCTACATGCGGTGGGAGCCAGATTCTGACCCGAACTCTAATAAATCATGGAAAACTGTGGAGCATGTTTCAATAGTTCTTATCCACAGCGATTTTATTTTGTTTTTATAGGGCAGTTACTTTTATTTATTGATTTGAGGGAGGGCGGGATGGAGGAAGAGAGAAACCTGTTTCCACCTGTTGTTACCCTTGTCTGCGAATTCACTAGTTGGTGGTTGCATGATGTGCCCTGGCTGGGATCAAACCCACAACCTTGGTGTATGGGGGGCGACACTCTAACCCACTGAGCTACCCAGCCAGGGCCTACACTGGATTTCAAACTTGTCCCTGTTTCACAACAGATATTTTTAGAAAATGTGTTATATTTTACTACACAATAAAGGCTCAGTACCAAAAATTAGAGAATTAAAAAAAATCCATGTAGTTATTGTCCGAGGAAAGTGTACAAAACTGTGGGTTTACAACACTACTTTTAGGTCATAGCACTGAGTGCTTCACATACACCACGCTTGAGATGCCACATTTAAAAATCCTCTCGAAATCCCTGGGGCTGGAGAAACATGACCTCCGGTGCTGACCTTCTAAGCACAGGCTGGAAACTGTCCCCAGTACCTGTTGGTTTAGGAAAAAAGGAAGAAAAGGGAACTTCTTCAACTGATAACATATCGATATTGATTCCATTTTCCTAGAGAAGAGAGTAACTACACCTGTTTCCTGAACTCTTCCTTCTGCTTGTGCATGAAAGGTCTTGGTCTGGTAATACATTTGCAGTAACTGTGTTTGATTGTGCGGTCCTGATGACAGGGGACTCAAGGGCTGGAAAAGTTTAGTTTAAGGTAAATAGTTACAAGCCTAGTAAGTGGTGCGTATGTTAAAGCTATTATTTCAGAGACTACTGACAAGGCCCGTCCTGGCTCCTGGGAGAGACAGTGGACCCCCTGGGGCACTGCTAGTGACCGCCGCCTGGGGACAAGTGGAGGCATCCGGGCTGTTGTGTTCCTGGGACAGGCAGATGGCCACCCCCGCCCCCGGGAGCCAACTGCCCAGGGCAAGAATACTGCAGTTTGCTTTTAATCTAATTTTCCCTAGTTCTGTTGTAAAGAGGCTGGCTTGCAAAGAAAATGTGGACAGTCTGTCAGGGTGTGAACTCGCTGTCTCAGGTCGAGGGCCATCATCTGAATCAAGCGCCCACCCATAGAGATCCAACCCCTGCCCCTGCCCATTGGGTTTGCGGGTGACAGGAGCGTGAATGCCTGGCTTCTCCAGTCTCACGAAGGCCTCTGTACGAGAATAAAACTCCGGAACACATCCAGCACTAGTTACTGAGCGAGCTGTCGTGAGAGTCGTTAGTCCATTCACAGCTCGAACCCTTTCGCAGCCTGCTATCGGATGTGCGGAACGTGGGACATGACTGCACGCCCCCCCCACCCCCGCCCGAGGCTCCGGCCAGCAGGGCGGGGCCATGTGTTGGCCCGAGGCCCCCGCAGTTTCAGGCTCCTGTGGGCAGTGAGCTGGAGATGCACTGAAAAAGTAAAAAGTGGGATGTTAAATGTGTTTGATTTTATCTATAAAGTTTTTATTATCTACGATTATGAATTTTTCACATGCACATATAAAATAACCACAATTTTCTAAAGGCAAGCTAACAAAAAACTCACAAATAACACACTTAACTATTCTATGATGTTCAGAAAAAAAATATCTCTCCACCTAAAATTAAATGGTGTTGACTAAAATCTGACTACTGATTTTGTAGCAAACGTGGAGGTGCGCCGGTGCCCACAGCGGCCTCGTGCTGCCACCTGCTGGCTTCCGGCTGAACTGCGGCTCAGCGTCGAGTCCGCCGCCGCCGCCCGCGGGGGTGCTCCGAGTTTGAGCCCCGCTCTCCGGGCACCGGGGGCAGCGCCCCGGTTTCAGGAGGAGGCGCAGGGCCCCCTCCTCGGGCAGATGTGTAAGAGTGATAGGGGATTCAAGACTTGGAAAGTTTTAGCTTAAGGTAAAAAGTTGTAAATCTAGCAAGTCATGTGTATGTTAAGCTTTTGTTTCAGAAACTACAGATAAGGCCCGTCCTGGCCCCGGGAAAAGCAGCAGCCAGCCTCCTGGGGCATTGGCTAGAGACTGCCGCCTGGGGACACGTTGGAGGCATCCGGGCCTTTTGTGTGACGCCTCCCCCGCCTTGGGAACAGCTAACTGCGGAGAATAGGGAGGGAGAACAGGAAGGCTGCAGTTTCGCCCACCCTAATCCTCCCTGAATCTCAAAGCCCTCACCGCACCTTGTGTGCCCTCCCCCACCCCCTGATAAAAGATCTGGCCAGGAAAGAGAAGGGCAGATGGTTTGTTAGGGTATGAACCCCCCATCTTCTCGGGTCGCCGGCCATCTGGATAAAGCGCCCATAAAAGATTCAATCGCTGTCATTGCTTATTGGGTTTGGTAGTGACAGGCAGCCCGAATGCCGGTGTCTTTTCCAGTTACAAGAGGACAAGTATGTCAGCTTTGTGTGAAACTCGCTATAGATTCCACCTGCAGGGTCATTTTAGACATTTCTGCACCTTTCCTCCTAGGTGTGTGCCTGACTTTGGGCAAAGGGGAACATCTGGGATCGAAACCAGGCGGGCACTGAACTCAAAGGGGCAGCGGTGGGATCGGAAGGAAAGGGCAGAGGAGGCCATGCATGGGGCAGAGTCCCGGACAAGAGGCCGGCGTGACCCTAAGAGGATGCTCGACAGGTGGCAGCACTGGGCCGGGCGGCACCCTGAGTGCTGCGCCTCGGGAGAAGGGGACGTCGTCACCAGGGAGCCCGCGACCACAGCCGGGGAGAGGAAAGCCCCGGGGAGACGCGGGGCTGAGAGAAGGACGGTGGCAGCGGGAAGGCGGGCCGCGGCGGGGACTGGGGGCGCCCGGCCCGCTCCCGTTCCTCCCACGAAAAGTACATCAACTCGCACGGCTCTCCACTGCTTCCCTGGGGCCGGCCCTGACTGCGCACCGGCGCGCGCACCGTGCGACCCAAGGCCCGACCCGCGGCGGCGCCCGCGCCCCCAGCTCAGCGGGAGGACAGGGGCCGCGCGCACGGGACCCCGCGGGCTGCAGCGCCGCCGTCCACTCCGCCCCCCGGGAGACGCGATTGGTCCCCGGGGACGGCGCCCAGGACCGTCAGCCGTTGCGTGGCCGTCACCGGCTGCACCACGTAGCACCGGACCGGCTCGGCCACCACGGCGGACCCCGTGCGGGTCGTCCGGTTGGGAGGGAACCTGTCACGGACGGTGAGGCACGTAAGGACCAGCTGCAGTCTCGGTATTCATCTTACCACCGCTCAACATCGCGAGACGTGCACTCGGGACGCGCGCACAGGGTAACCCGCCCACTGCCACCAACGCAAGTCTCGCGACACGAGAGGTCAGGCGCGAGGCGACGGCGGAGACGCGGCCGCCGGTATCCGGTGGGGCTGACCGCACGGCGGTGGTCTGGGCAGCTTTCCGGGCACAATGCCGTCCCCCTTCTCGGTCACCTCCTTCCCCGTCAGCATTCCCTCCGTGATCATGGTAAGTGGGCGGCCACCTCCGCGCCGGCGGTTGGGGCCTCCCCGGGCTTCCCTGCGTCTTCCGGGGACGTCACGGCCCCGGACGGAGCCTGGGAGGCGAGACCCGGGCGTGTGCTGGGGCCTGGGCGCCGGGGGCGGAGCTTCCTTGGGCGGGGCTTGGAGGTGAGGGCGGGGCTTCCGGGGCGGTGGGGCGGGCTGGCCGGGCCGGGCCGGGGTAACCACTGGGCGGGACCGGGCAGGGGGCGGAGTGGCGCGGTGCTGCGGCTACCCCGGCGTCCCCGTCGCCTCGCTGAGTGGCTCCTTTCGCTGTGCCTCCTCGTGCGCGTTGGTGGACGTAGCCCGTGTCCAGCTCGCCTGCCCAGGCTGCAGGTCCGCAGTGCGCGGCCCTGCGGTGTGGGCCGTGCCGGGGCTCTGCTGCACGCAGGCCCGGGACCCTGGGGCTCTGAGGCCTGTCAGGCCTGGTTCGGAGCTGGAGGAAGGGGAGGGGCAGGGCGTGCGTGGGAGCACGGCGGGGGATGGATCTGAGTGTGGTGGGATCCTGAGCACCAGCGGGACCCTAAGCGTGGGGTGCGGACACACCCACCCGTAGCGTCCAGGGACCTGCGATGGCAGCACCGCCTGCGGGGCGCGCTGCGGGCAGAATTTGGAGAAAATAACGTCTTGCCTATTGGGATGACTTCGTTTCCCAAGGCCTTAAGTACTGGGGTAAGGAGCTTGGAAAAGCAGCCTCAAGCGGGAGTCACCAAGTCCATCTGCTGAAGGAGTCACTTCACTTCCTCCCCCCCTCGTGGGAAGGTGGCTCTTGGCTGGTGCCCAGCTTAGAAGTGTGACTGCCCCACACACCCAAGGGGCACGTCGGTGAGGCCCCCACCTGTGCTCCAATGTTAAACCAGAGTTCTCTTCGGATCCCTGACTCTGGCTGCCATGGAGGGGCCCCTGGTTCCCCTCTCCTCCCCTCCCCTCTTCCTGCGCCCTCCACTGTTTTGTGTGAGGCTGGGGTGGGGGCGGGCGTCTCTCTGGACCCCTTGCTCAGGAGCCCGAGAAGCAAGTACTCGGGAGTGGGGGGCCACTGAGTCCCCACTGACCCAGGGGAGGGGTGGCCGGCCCCGCAGCATGGATGCTGATGAGTGTCCGGTGGTACACCCCACAGCAGACGGACTGGACCGAGCCCTGGCTCCTGGGCCTGGCCGCCTTCCACGTGCTCTGCCTGCTGCTCACCTGCCTCTCGTCCCGGAGCTACCGGCTGCAGGTCGGGCACTTCCTGTGCCTCCGTGAGTAGAGTGTGCCGGCCTCCTGCAAGGTGCGGGCTGCGCGGTGCGGGCTGCACACCTTCTCGGTGTGCAGTGGGGTCCGGAGACCCGACCCTCTGTCCCACACTCCGCTGTGAGTCTCGGGCTCGTCCCGGCTCCACTCTTGGGAATTAGCCACGAAGTAACCCGTGGACCGGGGCTTGAGAGGGGTCTCTTGAGCACTGCCTTCCTGGGGAGGGGCCCAGCGGTGGCCGGGCCAGGTGGTCGGAACTGGGAGCCCAGCCGCGCGGCGCACTCAGGCCTGCCCCGTGCCTGGGGACCTGCGTTCGGCAGGATGGCCAGTGAGCCCTGGTCCTCGGGCGGAAGGCCTGGGCTCTGGGAGCCGCGTGCGGTCCCACGGAGGCCACGCAGACTGTGATGTGTGTTGGCCCCGGTTTCCTTTCTGTTAACTGTAGTCTTGCGGCTTTGTAACTTGTGCCTCACGCGGTGTACCTAAAGCAGAAATCGCAGTTCCCCTCGCACTGGCTCTCCTGCTGTGTTTGCAGTGAACAGGCCCCTGTGAAGAGCCTCTCCGCGGTGATCCGTGGCCCCGGTCCTAACCCGGCTTCTTCCGTTGCAGTGACGCTGGTCTACTGCGCCGAGTACATCAACGAGGCGGCCGCCATGAACTGGAGGTGAGCCGCTCTCGTGCTCCAGTGGAGACTTGGCTCCATCTGTGTTGCTGAGCAACCCCACCTGAACACGGGGGGGATGCGGGAGGGGCGGGGGCTGTTGAGAGTAACTGCGGCTGCGGACCAAGGAGGTGGCGCGGTGGAGCTGGGTGCGCCTGTGGTCGAGCGGAGGGTGTGCTGAGGCCTTCTGCCCTCCCGGGACCACCGCGTCAGTGTGGGGCTTCAGCCCCCCCGTCCCCCAGGAGCCCCCCTGCTCCCAGCTGCACCCCTGAGTCCTCACCCAGGGCACTTGCAGCCCAGAGCACGGTAGGACCGATGTCAGATCCGCTGCTCACACGGCAGCTCAGGGACAAGTGTTGACTCTGCTTCAGAACCGCTCCTCCCCCCACTTCCTGGTGCTTCCCGGTCACCTCCCTGCGCTGGTGGCCCTGCGGTGGCCACCAGGGCCCGGCGGCCCCTCCCTGCCAGTGGGCGTCCAGGCTGCCAGGGGGTGGTGGGCGCTGCCCTCCTCCACGTAAGACTTCTCCAGAGCCTGACGGTGACTGGAGGATGTCGTGGAAAACGTTCCGTTGCACCAAGTAACTTTTAAATTTTTCTTGAAACAGGTCATTTTCAAAATACCAGTATTTCGATTCGAGGGGGATGTTCATCTCGGTGGTGTTTTCGGTGCCGTTGCTCCTCAACGCCGTGGCCATTGTGGTGCGTCCGTGGCGGACTGCGGGGCCCGCGCTCGCTCTCTCTCTCTCTGTCTCTCTCTCTGTGATGGTTTCCCGATCTAAACCCTCTCACAACGGTCGTTTTCAGGTTATGTGGGTGCGGAAGACGTTGACCGTGATGACCGACCTGAAGAAGTTACAGGAGAAGGTGAGAGAGAGGAGAAGGAGAAGAAAAGAGCAATAACGTCGCAGCTGCTCCGCTTTCCTGGGAGACTTCCCACCGCCGCCGTTTGGAGAGCTGACCTGCACGGGGTGCGGCGCCCTTCTCAGTGGCGGTCGGCAAAGACGACTGTTTGAGGCGACTCTGTTTGGTGTGCAGCAGGCTGTGCTCGGGGACTCAGGCTGTCTCTCCAGCCGTCCGTGTAGCTCGGGTCCCTGCAGGAGGCACGCTGCCCGATGGCAACACCTCACCAGCAGCAGCGCCCAGGATGGTGTCTCGGTCGGCCAGCACAGGCAGGCCACACCCTGAACCAGAGCCTGGCCAGCCGCACGGCTGCTCCGGGAACGAGCCCACCCGGAGCTGAGGGGGCCCTTTCTGAAGCTGGTTCTCGCAAGAGTCACTTGGCCAGCCGGGAGCTGGCACCCGGCTGCAGCGCATGGCGGGAGGCCCTGTGGCTGCAGCGTGGTGCTGGTGGGCGGGGTGGTTTCCTTCCTGGGTCGCCGCGCTGCTCTCCTGGGGCCCAGGGTCAGGCCAGACCCTCCGTGAGTCCTCACAGGCCCAGGGGTCTGTCCATACGGCACAGCTGCTCCCCACATGCTCTTGTGGGGGGTCCCAGCGGTGCTGTGGACAGCTGAGCCCCTGAGTGCTTAGCAGCACCAGGCGCCCGCTCCGAGCAGCGTCACCTGTGTCACAAACCAGTGGATTTGAGATCACAGAACCCCGGGCTGCAGTGGCAGGCCGTCGAGTCCAGCTCCCACGGGAGGGAGCGGAGCAGCGCTCCGAGTTTGTTCTCCAGGACGCACGGCCCATGGAGGGACCCGCGGCCTCCAGCCGTTTGGAGCGGATGCTGCTGACGCACAGAGTGAGGGCGCTCCTCCCCGGGTCTCAGTGGCGGTGTTTTCCGTGTGGGTCACGGGAGCCGTGTCGCCAGTGTGTGGGGACAGGTGGGCGGGCACCAGACTAGCCCGTCTCAATGCCGGCGCCACGGGCGGTCGGTCGGTCTCGTTCCTGCCCAGCTGGAACCCCGGCGTGAGGACGACAGCTGAGGGGGGTCCACACTTTTAACAAACACAGTGATTAAAAATTATGGTGATTCATAAAGGAAAGGCTGTTGGCTCTTGATTTTGGTTTGAAAAAACGATTGTCTTAATTTTGACTAGATGCTTTTCCCTTAGTGAAACATGGTCTTCAAATTTCAAAAAGGAAAAAAATGTCCTTATGAACATTTGTATTCAGCAGCTGACACCTTGATATATTGAAATTAAATCCTGAAGGTCAGATAATGTTTTCCTTTTTTTTTTTAAGATTCCATTCATTGATTTTTAGAGGGGAAAGGAGGGAGAAAGAGAAGGAGGGGAACATTGATCAGTTACCTCTCACGTTCCCCCCACCTGGGGACCTGGCCCAGATCCCACCCAGGCTTGTGCCCTGACTGGGAATCGAACCGGTGACCCTTAGCTTCGGAGGCTGGCATGCAATCCACGGAGCCACACCAGCCAGGGCCAGCCAGTTAATGTTTTTGTAGACAATTGTGAACTCTTAGCAGAGTTCCTGCTGTTACTTTTTAGAAGTGACTTGATAGCATCTTGTAGAAAAATCTGGAGCTTTTAACCTGAAATGCTGTCCAGTCCCTTAGCAATGTGTCAACTTTTGTATTGAACATAAACAATGACAAACATAGCGTCCCCTGTAAAGCTGGCCCTGAGGTCTGCCTCACGGCCTGTGTGTGCGCCAGTGCAGACTGCTTCCCAGTGTGACCACTTCCAAGGCACCGGCCACGTCACAAGTCAGCTCCAGGAAGGAAGGGGGGAGTCGTCCAGCCCCCGGGACCGAGCCCAGGTGCCCGGAGGGTCGTGGGGTCTTGTCCAGGCAGCTCCAGATGTTGGCTGTGGTCAACGAAGGGACCTGGTGTGGACGGGGTGTGTTTTCTGTCCCGAAAGCACTCGGACCATCTGACTGTGGGCCGTCTGTCGCACTGAATCAACTTTCTTGTGACATTAGTGTACTGTCCTCATGAACTTGAAATTAAATGACTTCAGTGTGAAAACACGACGGGTCTTTTTGTTTCTGTGTGTGTGTGATACTTTTGGAACAGTAATGTGTAATTAAAATAATAAATTCAGTGTATAGTTAATTTTGAGTGTTGAAGTTACATGCATTTAACAGTAAATGTTGCAACATTAAATAGTAAATTCAGACAATTTTTATTTTGATCATAAAAGTTTATCCAAGAATCTCTCAACCTATACTTGGTGTGTAATATAAAAGTTCACGTTTTTGAAATGCGGTGAGTAGACATTTGTGGAATTTTGTCTTGTTAACTGTTTTGCAGCGAACGATCCGCCTCCATCACATTTCATTTCCTTTCGTCGTAGCCAGTGGGTGGCTCGGGCTGCGGCCGGTGACGCGCCGGTGAGCCGCTAGTTCCCTGGGTCTCATCCTGAGCCAAGTCCCCAGGAACCCGAGAGGGGCTGTGAGTAAGGACACAGTCGCTGCCGCGCGTGTTCTACCGCGGGGGCCCCCGGGGCCCCGGGAGCTGCAGTCCTGTCCCGCGGGGTTCCCGACTAAGGCGCTGCCCGAGCCCAGCCCCTGCAGGCGGCTCTGACCCTCCCGCGCCCGCGGCCCATCCGCAGGCGCCTGGGGGTTTCAATTCTGCTGCCCGGTCCCCGGAGATCTGCTCCCGCGCGTCTGGAACAGGACCGGCCTTTCCGCGGGAAGAGCCTCAGCGGAGCGGGGCTGGGTCCGACTCCACGTTCCCCCAGAGACGCCAGGCCTCCGACCCTCCGGGACTTCGGTGCCCCGAGTGGAAACGACGCGGTGCCTGCGTGCTCACTGCACAGCGCCCGGGAGGACGGAGGCAGGCGGCGGCACACGCGCTCCCCGCTGCCCTCGCCCGGGACGGGGTCGGTGGGGGCGTGGGGGTCAGTGTCCGCAGGGACGCGGCGGCGGCCCCGGCTCCCCGCCCACAGCCTCCGGCGCCCGCGACCCCCTAGTTCCGGGGGCTCTGGACTCCGGCTCCGCGCAGCGCGGGCCGTGCGTCGCCCCTACGGCCCGCAGGGGGCGCAGACGCCCCGCCACGGGCTCCCGGGGGCGGACCGGCGCGGACCGGCCGGCTGCAGCGCTGGTCGGAGGGCAGCCTGGAGGTTCTGACGGTCAATGCCGTCGCGGACTCAGCGCGGGGCCGAGAACCGCGGGGCTTTCGTCTCCTGCCTTCAGGGGAACGAGGTTCGTGGAGCCCGTCCGAGCTGTGTGTTTCTGTTGAGCCAGAAGCAGCCCCTGCGCGCGCGCGCACAGGCATCCGGAGAAAAACCACCCGGAGAAAATCCGGGAACTCACCTTCCTCTCCGGTCAGGGAACGCCCGCCCGCCTCTGGGCCCGCACACCCAGGCCCGGGCAACTTGCGATGACAGGTCACTGTCGGCCGCCTTCTAGCTTCAGGGTCCGGTCTGAAAGCAGATGAAATCCAGGGAAGGAGGCGGAAGTGATTCAGGGGGGGACACACCAGGCTGGTGCAGAGGAACGTGCACCCAGGGGAGGCCCTGGGGGGTGGGGTTCAGGAGCCCCCACGCGTGCAGATGGCGCCGGGGGCACTGCACTGGGAACTCGCAGGTTAGAGACCTGCTCTGGCCGTAGGCTCAGTCGACCTGGCTCATGGGCGCTGGGGGCTGCCGGGCATTGCAGGGCCCCTTGCTGCACCTGCGGGTCCAGACCAGTCGCCCCAGACAACGCACAGACGCAGAAGTGTTTCCCGCAGCGATGGCGTCGCTGCGGGACTGAGGGCGAGGCCCAGGGACGGGGTCCCTCTAGGGACTGGAGATGCCCGTGTGCTAGGCCCCCTCTTTCCTGTCGCCCACCGCCTGCCCTGCTAGGGCTCCCCGGGAAGCAGAGACGGGGAGTCGGGACTGGAGCCCAGCGGCGTGCCCCTGAGGCTCCCGAGAGCCTGGCCGGATGGCCGGACGGCCCCTCGGTGGAGCGTGTCCGTTCGAGTCCGGTTGAGCCAGATGGAACAGCTGAGTCGGGGTGGTGCCGGCCTGGGGGCCTGGCCCTGCCGGGGCCACGGGGAGCCGCCAGGAGGGAGGGGTGCGAAGCCAGCGGCAGGGACCCTTTGCATCCGCAGCCTGCCCTGGCCTCCCTCACCCTCGGGTGGAAGTCTGGGGCCGAGGGAAGGGGATGAACAGAAAACACAGCCCCGGCTCTGGGGCCGCCGTGCAGGGCCCGGTCCACAGCGGCGCGGGGAAGGAGGGTGGGTGCAGGGCGCTGGGGAGTCTGGGCTCTCCGAGGGCGGCAGCCGCACCTGCCTCTCGCACGGGTCACAGCGGGCGAGCGCCGCGTCTCGGGGCAGAAGGTTACCTTGCACTTCAGGGCTCAGGTGACCTCCCACGGGTGCTCATGTTTTCCTAGCTCCTCAGACGAGTCTCTGACGTCAGAGGTGCCCCGGCCGAGGGGCTCAGCTGGTTGGAGCGTCGTCCCACACGCCGAAAGGTTGCGGGTTCAATCCCGGGTTGGGGCAAGTGATCTGTGTTCCCCCGCCCCCCCATCCCCCCCCCCACCCAGCTTAAAAATCAATGGAACTATCCTGGGGTGAGGATTAAAACCACGCAAGCGGAAGGCAGGCTCAGGGCAGAGCCGAGTCTCCGAGCAGGGCGCTGCTGTTTGTGACCCTCTGTTGGGAGGGAGCGTTTGACCTAACTCATGAATTAGCAGAGATGAGCAGGGGTTAGGGAAGAAGACCCCAGAACACAAAGGCCCTGTCTCCCTGTGCCAGCCAATGAGGGAGGCAGCTAGTCGCACGGGTCCCGCCCTCAGGGGCAGCGGCATCGCTGGCCCTGGACGTGCCTCAGAGCCCGGAGACGCGGGTTGTCACGGCAGTGACAGGCGAGTCGACTGATGACCGAAGCTACAGGGAAAGGATGCATCTACGATTTGGGATTTTTCCAAGATGCAACTTCGAAAATAAATACATAAAGGATGGTCTGGTTCCCTGTGTGATAATAACTACACGAGGAAAACCTCAGAGTTTACAGGTAAACAGAAATGCAGGTGACAAACTGCAATGCAAAACAAATAATACTTTCCCATGGCAGCCGTGAGAGGCTCGCTGGTTTGGTTCTGTTTTTACGCGTTTTGGGCTCTGTGGAACAGTCTCCACGTGTCTCCGCGTGGAGGCGGGCTCCTGCCGTCCGGGGGCCGCTGTGCAGGGAGAAAGGCTCTAACCTGCTGGGGGATGGTTCCGAGCGTGGGGTCCCTGGTGGGGTCCCTGGCTCGCCAGCGAGAGGCCCCTTCACCTCCGAGGGCCCGTCATCTGGAGACCTGTTCTTTACCCCGGCAGCACTCAGTTTGCATCCTGGATGGGAGTTTTACTGTCGTTTTGCAAGAACCCCCTTTAACCACCGGTGAGGTCTCTCCTTCCACTGGCAGACGCACAGCCTCACCGCCGGTGCTCACGGGACCCACCCAGACTGTGCCTGGAGGCGGGCGGGTCCCACTGGCCGTGCCCTGCTGCCGTGCGGGCCCTGAGCAGAGAGCCCCCCCTGGAGAGCCCCGGAGAGCCCGCAGGCCCTGCAGACGTCGGGCGCCCACGATTTCATCGAACTCAGATCAGAGTTCACGGTTTAGCCCCACTCTTCAGCCTTCGGCACGTGCTGCACCCTGGGGCCTTTGTTGGGAGGGGGTGTGGGGGTGGGGAGAGGGGGCGGGCGAAGTGTCTGAGCAGGAGACCTTCGCCCCCGGGTCCCAGGCCAGGGTGACGGGGCCTGTGAGCAGGTGAAGCCGACCGCCGCCTCCCAGGGAGTGTGCAGAGCAGGTCTGGAGCCCCGAGTCTTCAGAGTCCCGCTTCTGCATCACCCCTCATCCCCGCGGAGAGGGAGAGGAGCGGGGACCGGCGACCGTGGCTCGGCAGCAGCCCCTGCACAGCCCTCTCGCAGAAGAGAGCAGACCCCAGCTCCGAGTGTCAGGCCCCTTTAAACCCCACTGCCCGTTGAGCGGCCCGAGCATCCCGTCATGTGGCGTTGATTTAGGCTGTTACGGCTCGACGACTGACCCGTGTTTCTCTGGCAACGTCTGACGACGCCCACCCCCCGGGCGCAGATTTGCTGGCTCCGTCCAGAAAGCCGCTCCCAGGTCTCTGGGCACAGGGCTGCGGCTGCTGCGTCTGCGGACGGACAGGCGTCCTGAGTTCTCCGCACGCTCCCCAGGGTGGCGTGTCACCCGCGCCCGACAACGGGGCCTGTAGCAAAGAGGTTCCGCCATCAGCAGCGAGGAGACTGTCCTCCGTGCCGAGTCCGCAGACGGTGCCCCGAGGTGACAGCAGTCCTGGCAGCCGCGGTCAGAGCTGTGGCCTGTCAGGCTGCCCTCCGGGTGGGAGGCCTGGCTGCTGTCCGCCCGCCGAGAGCCTCGTGCGCGGTCGCAGAGGAGGGTCCCAGCGTGTGCCTGGTCTGCAGCGTGGGGGCAGCACCCATGGCCGACGAGGGGGCGCCCTCCATGCGTCTCAGCCTGGGGCTGGGCTGCTGCCGCCGTAGGAAGCCCTCGGCCAACGCTGCTCCTGGCACCCACGTCGACGGGGGGCCGGCGAGGGGGAGCCTGTGGGGCGCGCCAGGGGCCCAGGAGTCTCGGGCTTCTGCAAAGACCAGACATGGGGACGGGCGAAGGGGGGCACCCTTCGCCCCTTCTGGCTCTGGCCCCCAGACTCTGGGCTCCCTGTAGGACACCCCCCCACACACACTCTCAGGACAAACCCAACTCCACCAACACGAACTCTCCCGCGTCTGCTGCCGCCCCAGGGCTTTAAAGCGTGAACTCCGGCCCCACGTGCCAGGCGGCGGCGTCAACCCGAATCTGGAATCGGTCTCACTCCTTCCGCTCTGTCCCCGCCCACAGCCCGCTGACCTCTGAACCTGAAGGCTTCATCCACCCGCCTGGCCTCCCCCCTCCATTCTCCGCCCTGGAGCCCACACGGGCCAGTCCCTTCCTTGGTCAAACGTGGGGTTAACTCTTGGCGCTGAGGAGGACGGCCTGGTGGGTGCGGCACACAGGGGCCCCCGTGGTGCATGCCCTGTTGGACTTCTAATGAGCCCACAGAGGCCACGCGTCCCCTGATGCTTTTGCAGAACACGTGTCCCTCTCTGCTAACCTTCACTTGAGAGGCATCCAGAGCAGTGTCCTGGCGCCTGCTGGCCCTGCAGAGCTGCCCCCCTGCCGTCTG